CGTATATTATTCCTAACGTTTTCTATGGAACTCCTTGGAACGTTGAAATCAGATCGTCACGTTGCCCACGGCAGCACCTTCCGGTTGCCAAAAAAACTTTCGACTCTTCCCCCTAACTCCCTCCTGGCTGGCAGCGCGGCAGAAACTACTGCTTTTGATGGGTGACGAGAGTCGCACCAGTGGTGGAAGTTTGGTGGAGTTGAATCATAGTGACACCGTTCATTTCACCATTGAGGTACCCACGAATGCAGTGTGAAGAGCTGATCCTAACCATAAAATAGGATAAAAGATAAAGTGTTTGTCGTTAGTAAACTCCTTGTCCGATGTACAAGTCAGTGTTCTTGCCTCCCAGACAAACCCTAAATTGTACAGACAAAGGCTAGTACCAATCTACCATCCCCAGAACGAAAAAGGTCTGGTCTGAACGCGAGTCGACCCGGGATTTCAACACAGGACCGCGCGGTCAGCGCGCCACTTGTCAATGTACCACCTCCGCCTCGTCGCCATTGCTAATACAAGAACTTTCTAAGGGAGGTCCTATGGCAAAAGAAAATGAAAATTGCGCTCTTCTGCTTATTTTCCGAAGAGCCGTAGCGAGTACTGCATAGTGGCAAGTTCGCCCTCTGCTACAGAAGCGCTCCGAGAGTCACATTCTGGCTCGAGTCCCGCACAACTCAGCCAAGACGTCAATCCCTGTGCGGCAGTTAGTTTCAGACTCGGGTGAAAGAACAGATACACTGAGTTGCACATCGCTGTGGCCTTCGAGTCATTGCGGATCGCCGCTTCGATTCTGAATTTGAGGCGGAGTGCGAGGCGTATGCCAAAAAGCCTAATTGGTTGCAGAAACCTCATCATCACTATCAGGATCCAGTAAAATTGGAAGTAAGAGCCGCACACAGTCAGCAGCTTCTGGACGATTCTTCTCCATGTGGTTCAATAGACCAAGCAGCATTGCCCGGTGGTCTGAAAAACGCAGAAACTCCGAGAAAATGGGCAAAAATTTCAGCTGCTGCTCAGCGGAGGAAAATGCCCTTTTTAATTACTTTTTTGAGCATTTCGTCGCAGATTCACCCGAATTTTCAAGCATTTTCTCGGCTTCGATGACAACGAAAGCTTTTCCTTCTAACTGTCAAACAGATATGTCCAATAAAATTTATAATTAATTCAGCACTGAAGTTGGATAAGTGTGGTGTGTGCGATGGCGACGGCTCGAAATGCAAAACGATCGAAGGCTCTTTCGATGAACGAAATCTTTCACCTGGATATCACGATGTTATGCGAATTCCTGTGGGAGCCACGGCCATCAAAATCGAGGAGGCTCGTCCAAGTTCAAACAACCTAGGTATGTTTAAAACTCAAGTAAATTTTTCTTCTGAGGCACATTTCGCAGTCACGAACCGTGGAAGCTATGTATTTTTGACTGACCTACCAGTGAAGAATGACGTAGAAAAACCCGTTGGAAGAACTTCAATAAGACTGCCAGTTTTGAGCTGGATCAAGCCTTAGCATAGTAGCAGTGTAGATTTTTTAACCCATAAAAAGGACAACCTCGTGAGAGCTCATGAGAAAAAGACCTACGCTGAAAAATGCTTTCATTGCAATTGATTTCAAGCTTCCCAGTAGTATGCTAGGAGGACACAGTGTGTGCGGCGGGCGAGAGACTAGAGACAGAGGAGAGCACACAGCATGACAAACGCGCGTTGGTAGGCACCGCATAGGAGAAATGATAAGTCTAGGGCTGATTTTCTGCGCAGTTCCGAGTCGAAAAAGGCGCTCTTTTGCTTGCTAATTGGGAACTTATGCTACCTGAAATCGTTACCCACCAGAAAGTGAGCGAGAGCACAAGGAACGGCCCGGCCCCCCCCCGTGACAGTTGCAAGCCCAGAGCAGATTTTTCACTCAGATTTTTAGCGGGCTCAGGAGTGAGACCAATATGTTTGAACACGCTCTGGTGCGCCCAACCGCGCCGCGTTAAACCGGCCTAACATGGATCACCAACTGTATCTATGGAGGTTTTCTTAAAATGAACGGCTAGTTGCGAAAGTGACTGGCCTATGCTATAAGGTGGGCCCAGAAATTCCGGCCATTGTCGAATCCTATGAAGACCCTATGAAGGTACCCTCTCACATCTGCAATGCAAAAAGTATTTCAAGCCATGAAGACTCGAAAAGATCAGTACTTTTTGAATGGGAACTCAATGATCCAGGTGGAAAAGGATGTCGAGCTGAACGGCGTCTACTTCGAATATGATGACGGAAAACCGGAGAGGATTACCGCAAAGGGACCACTGCAGGAGGTCTGACTTTTTACCTACTAATAATCAAAAACCGACTATTCCTGTCAGAAAGCATGTGAGTTCCTTATCACTGCGTGCCAATCATGAAGGTTGGGAGAATGCCAAGATTGTAAAAAATTCGGAAGCACCGACGGTCCTTGTGCTTCTTCCACAGTGGCGCCCTCCCAGAGTAATGTGTATATCTGTAGTAACTTCCGGACCACTCATTCACTTTTGTTTCGCAGCGTCCCCCAACCTTAAAAAGGCGACCTAAATGCGACGCCTGCACCCCCCCTAAGTCCCTGCAAGCTGATTGGGCCGACACCGCGGAGTGAGGGGGCGAGGGGTGAGTGGTACCATTTCTATGTGTCCGTAAAACAAAAAGATGACTGACCATAACAAACATTTCTCAGACTCATATACGTCGCCCCCCCCTCATCCCAGCGATCAAATAGACCCCCGCCGCGCCTCAGTGTTAGTAAATTTACAAGAGGGATTAACTTCAACGATTTCCAACGTCCTTTAGCGGCCACGTTGCCACAAAAACAAGAGAATTTTCCAAGCTTTCGACTACTACTGTTCATCCAAATTGCATTTACTCCAGGAAGTCGTCGTGTCTGTGTTGATCCGCAAAGGAAACAGGGACGTGTCAGTCAAGTACGAGTTTTCCATCCCTGTTGTTGATGAGGTCGACTACATATATAAGCCTGGAGAATGGTCAGCATGTTCGGTCACTTGTGGAAAAGGTAAATTTACAAGAAGGTTTCTTCTGAGGATGCTGAACAGTCAAATACGCTACTAGAAGCAGGGCTCACCGTCCGTTGTGTAAAACACAATGCGAGTTGTATCTGACCAATGGGGAAGGGGTCGTCACCGAGGGAAAAAAATTTCTGATCATTGATTACACTCCTTATCCCTGACACGGAGTGGGCGTGGCATTCGAACATGGCACAGAATGGGTTACTCGTGGCGTATTTCAGTTTGGATCAACTGTTATCTTTTCTCAGTTGAACAGAGACATGAACACAATTGTGTCAAAATGAAAATATCTCACCAAAAGCACAGCCACCGCCACGTTTAGTTGAAGTACGCAGCCACGCCTACCCATCTCAGAGATTTCAAGTATACTCACGTTTGACGAGGGCATCCCCCCCGGTAGGTGCCAAGGTACTTGGAAACGTTGGTATAGTGGTAGACAAGATCTAAGATGCATATTGGGGGGGGGGGGGAGAGGGGCGGGGAGAGGATCGTACTGCGGAATTTTTCCGTAACGTGATAGAGTACATTGATCAGAAGAGCTTTCGTAGTTTTTTGGGCCGATTTATTATCTTAATGACCGAATAGGCGGAGGACA